TTCCGTATCTTTTTAGCACGGGAAATTTAGTTCTAGCCTGAGCTTACATCAGCATCTTTCAGTAAAAGAACCTATCACTTCAAACAAATGGAGTTGAGGGTCTTTCTTTCCGAAGGGATCGGACTGGGGTAGGTCTGAGAGATGTAGTCTAATAATTCTGACACTTATTTGATGTTTGGGTCATTTTTTTCTCTTTTTTGTACACAATTTTGTTTTGTTTTGTTGTTACTGTGGGATGTAGGTTTTTCTGTTTTGTATAGTGTTTTATTTCATTAGTGTTGAGAAAACATAAGAAATATAAAAAGATAAAAAATTGGATGTGGGTAATATATTACTAATATAGATATGGTGTTAAAAACACACATTACTATTTTAAGTATATCTAAAAGTGCTTAGCTTAAAAGCCCTACAATGCAGTGGTGAGATTCAAAACATTTTACTGCCGGTTTTGTGGGTATGGCTTGGTGGGCATGGTTAAGTGGGGTTGTCCATGTGACTGGGTGGGCGTGGCTTTTTTTTTCTTTTTGCTTTTTTGCAGCCACCCCCCACCCGTTTTTCATGCCTTCTGGGTCTCAGGCAAGCCTTGGGGGGGGGGGGGGGGGGCGTTTTTGCTCCCAGAAGGCTCCCCTGGGGCTCAGAAAGGCAAAAAATGGAGGGGGGGCTGTGCCCCTCCCTCCATTTTTTGCCTTCCTGGGCCTCAGCAAGAGGAATCCTGGCACAGCTGATCGTATGAACAGCTGATTGTCAGGAGGAAAAAGAAAGAAATACCTTAAGGGGCGAACATCTGGCAGGTGGGGTGAATGAGCATTGGGCGGGCAGGGCAAGTGAGCCAGCGGCAACTGGGTGACCAGGTCGGGGGCATGGCCAGCCAGAACTTACTACCGGTTCGGAGACCCATGCCAAGTCCTTCCTACTGGTTCGTTTGAACTGGCTGAATACCACCACTGCTACAATGTCTTGGCACCCAGGTACCTGAAGAAATGCAATTCCCATATCAACCTGAATGCATTGAAATAATCTGTGTAGATTCATCTCTGGATTTGAAACAAGGTGACAATACCACTAAATTTCAAATGAGGAGTTAGTGCCTCCAAGATCCGAAATGAAGTTGCAGTGCCCCAGGATCTGAAATTAGGCAGTTTGCGGATTGGTCAATTTATAGACTTCCCTCTCAGAATGATTTGCCAGGTCCTACTCTAATTCCCTCCCCTCCAAATTCAGTATTTTAATTTTAACCTCCTGTTTTAACTTAAAGTTACAATAATAATAGATTATTATACCAGTTTTTATGCTGGGTTTCTTATGATTTGATTTTCTTGAAAGCCATCTGGGAAACAAATTAACTAAAGCTGTGATATAAATATATAAATTTAACATTTGCAATGGGATTATCTTTTTTCCCTGCTGTGCTGCATAGTTCCTTTCAAAATAGTTACTTCCATTTAATTAACTTCTCAAGTATTTAAGGAAGAGGTTCTGCTACTTGATTAACGCTTGAAGGATTTTCCTAGGCTATGCACTGACCAAGTGAGTGTCCAGAACCAGGTTGTGTTTTGATCTGAGCAGGCTGTTGGGGTACTGGGCTGCTATGATTCTTGATGGCATCAGTGCTTATTATAGAGGCTATGTCCTTCTGGGAAACCTTTGCCATGGGGAGTTCCTCCACCATGATCCCACTTTGCCGTTGCCGACGACGTTTCTTGCTCCACAGTTCATGACAATCCTGCCAATGAGGAAGGCTAGAAAGACAACACACAAACATTAGAGACAATAGTGGCAAGGGTAGCCAATCAAAAGTAGAATTCTAATATTAGATTACTGGTATTTCTCTCCTCATAGATGATGTTTACCCTAATAGTTCAAAGCAAAACTTCTCTTCTTCCCCATGTTTTAGCAACTCTTATATAAGCCCCAAAAGGATGTCATTTGGGGTGAGTGAATGACTCAGAGGAGGGCTAAAGCTTGTCTTAAACTTCACAAAAGGGTTTAAAGGCATATAGAGGGTGCAAGAATTGCACTACTGCCTTTTGCAAAGCTTAAGACATATATATAATTGGGCCATTTCAGTAAATAAAATGTAGAATTGCAAGAAAATGTGGTTTGTAATCTGGACATGCCTATTGTTTTCTGATCAAACAATTCACTCCTTGCCTCATCTACCTGTAGCCTCCGCGCATTCCATATGGTCCTTGACCCCCCCAAAAAGGGTGTGTGTGGCTATGTGTATATGTATTACAGGAATAGAGGAGATGGCCAACAGCATCTTTGCATATACTAAGAAAGAGCAGGCGTTGGGACTGAAACACAAGGAAGATAATTCTAAGCAATTCACATCCTTCAAAGTTTAAGTACTTTGTAAACCAAGGGTGGGGTTCCTTTTCCCTGTGACATGCAGGTTGACTAAGTTCCTTGAATCTTCTGCATTTATTCATGCTAGTATATTTATGAACATGCCTCCTTCCTAATTGTGCAGGCAGTGATTCTAAAGGCATATTTTTATGAGTGAAGATAACATATCTGCCTTGCTATGAATCCAACAAATCTACCACATATACTGTATACCACATCTAAAAGACTAGGTATTTCATTCCGCAACGTTTCCTTCCATTAGAGCAGGGGTGTCAAACTCAAGGCTTGATGTGGCTAGATCTGGCCCGCGGGGCTACCCTTGAGACAGTGAATGACTGGACCCCAGCGCCTCAGTCCTGGCCCAGACGCTAATCTATAATTTGATGTTCCAGGTCGGATGGCCACCATCCAGTTATAGATCAGCACCACACCCACCACCAGTGCCTCCACTGCCTGCTCGCCGGCCTGGCCTTGTGACCTGTGAGGCTTCCCTTTCACTGGGACTGCCCCCACCCCACCCTGCGTGACTGTGATGACCCGGAGTGTCCCACAAATGTAACAAAAACCAAAACTTAAATAAATGGTCTTTAATGCCTTCAACTTGGCTTCACTGTTCAATTGTTCACAGTTGGAGATTAAACTCTTTCCAAAATAACATTCCAAACGAAAGAAATACAGTCCAAACTCAAAGAGCAGATAACGAAGCAATAAAAAAAACAACCAAAAACAAACCACACTGAAGAAAGTTCCACGACAGACCAAGATAATTAATTACAAACTTCAAGAAGATAATCAGGTATAGTCCATTGGAAGAACGCCAACCAAGATAAACCTCATCCAGGAATAAAACACTCTTTGTTTCCAGCATTTGCTAGCATGCAGGTCCAAACTTTTATGCAGTTCTCACACCTGCATCCCATGAAGAGGATCAAGGCCCTCTCCTCCCAAGTAGACCACGTCTTTCCCTTATCCTCTCCTCCCTGCGTGTCCTAGGATGGATAGGGGATGGGCCTGGGTCCTCCTCTGCCTGCTCAGCCAGCCTCTGCCCTTCCCCAGCCTCCTCCGCAACCCCTGGAGCCACCCTTCCACTCCCTGTTGGCTGTTCCTCCTCTCCCTCAGAGTCAGTCTCCACCAGGGGCATGACAGTGACAAAGCCACAGCTGTGGTAAGCACGGCCACCGGCAGCGCTGCCAGTCTCCTCCTCCCCTCATCCCTTCCAGAGCGTAGAGGAAGGAAGGAGATGGGAATGAGAGGAGGGAGGCAAGGAGGAGGGAAGGAAGATGAGAAGGAAGGAAGGAAGGAGAAAGAAGCAAGGTTTTTTGTGGGGAGGCACCAAAAGAAGTAGCATTCCTTGGGTTGGAAGCAGCAAAGGCAGAAAGGGAAAGTAAACCTCAGACCCTGCAAACTAAGCGCAGTTCCTGCCGCTCACAGGAAAAGAAAAAGGGGAGCCGAAAGCGGAAAGGGGAGGAAGGAAGGAAGGAGAGAGATGGGTATAAGGAAAGGAGGAGGAAGGGGAGGGGAAGGAGATGGGAATGAGAAGGAGAGAAGGAGGGAGGGGTGGGAGGGAGGAGGGAGATGGGAATGAGAAGGAGGGAGGCAGGGAATCTGGCCACGCCCACCCTGGCCACATACCCCCCCCCCCCCCCGGCCCACCCCCCCCCCCCCCCCATGGTCAACCACAACCCTGATGCGGCCATCAATGAAATTGAGTTTGAGACACCTGCCTTAGAGAGAGGGATACTTACTCTGGCGGATCCATCTTGCTGATATCAACATCCTTCAGGAAATCACTCTGCAATGCTTGCTCTGCTGTATATCGTTTGCTGGGGTCCAGTGTTAGCATATTGTCTAACAGGTCGAGGGCAGCAGAAGGCATACTGGAAGATGAGAAAAAAAAATTGGGGGGGGGGGGGAAACCCAGTCTCCACAATAATCAGCACTGCTATTTGATATAATTTTCAAATATTTAAGGCAACCTGCATACTTTTTATCAGGTATAGCCAACTTGTAGCACACAACTATGTACTGTGTGCCTCCGTAGCCCTCTCCAACTATGAACAATAGGGCCATGTAATACTTCAGTATCACTCTCCAAAATGTGCTTCATAGAACATGGGAACACAAACGTAGTCCTTGTCTGCTTTATGCTTTTACCAGGTAATTCAACTGGCACCTGCAGAATCACATTTTTAGAGGGGAGCACTCCCTTGAAAGGTGCGTCAGACTGACATATTTGGTGTCAAGGGCATGGAAATTATTCACTGAACATACAGTAGATACATATGTGTCTATCATAATGCAATCTGATACTTGCAAGCACATATGGGATGCTGCCGGTTCACACCGGTTCTACCAAACGGGTAGTGCCAGTGAGCAGTTGTACCTGCCCACCCGCCCCCACCCTTTCCTGTCCTATATTTCCTTGTTTTTTAGCTCAGCTGATTCGTGCGGCAGACAAGATTGCTGCACCTCAGCTGTTTTACTCATCAGCGCTAATGGAAGCTAAGTTTTGAAGCTTGAAATCAGTGGTTTTTGAACCCTATGCGCTCTCATAGAACCGGTAGTAAAAAAGGTTGAATCCTACTAGTGCTTGCAAGCATCTGGAAAATTGTGCTTCAAACCCACGTGTTTATAATTATCAATCATAAAGTGTTTGAAGAACTGCTAGTAGTCAAAGCAGATGTTTCTGGATTACATGGATAAGTATGACTTCATATTAGTCATTTCCATATGTTCATGTAAAAACCAATCAAGTGTACCAGCTCTAGAAGAAAGGATGCAATGATCTCAATATTTGGTATCAGCCACAATAGCAAAAGCAATAACACTGCTTCATAGTGCTTTTACAGCCCCCTCTAAGTGGTTTAAAGAGTCAGCATATTGCCCCAAAAACTCTGGGTCCTCATTTTACTGACCTTGGAAGGATGGAAGGCTGAGTCAAACTTGAGCCAGTGAGAATTGAACTGCTGGCAGTTGGCAGAATTAGCCTACAATACTGCATTCTAACCACTGCGCCACCACAGCTCTTAACATTAGGATTAAATCACTGCTAAATGAGCCACATTTCTTTCCTGCTGAAAAACTTCTGTCTTAGGACATGGATCACCATGATGTTCAGAGGTCTAATGCTCTTCCTTTTCTGGCTAACCAAATGACTCTATTCACTTCCAGTAGATGTAGAACTCACCTAAATTCTGTGGCTTTGTGTCCATTAATGTTTTACGAACCCTAGAAGTTCACATGTATTGAAGTTCATAGTCCAGTACAATTAACAACACACATTGAGCCAATAAAGTTATCTAAAACTGCAATAAGCATACATAAGACATAGCTGCTAACAATTTCACCTTTCTCTTCCCCATCCTCAAAAGTTGATCTAGTGGTTAAGACACCAGGCTAGAAACCAGGAGACTGAGTTCTAGTCCCACCTTAGGCATGAAAACTGGCTGGTTTGGGCCTGTCATTCCTTCTCAGTCCAGCCTACCTCACAGAGTTGTTATGGGGCAAACAGGATGAAGAAGGAATATTCGATATGTTTGCCACTTTCAGTTATTTATAAAAATTAAATTAACATTAAATTTATTATTTAAAAAAGGTTGCTCCCTAAACGTCTATCTTAACCTGTTTCCTGAAAGGGATGATCCCAAGCTGCACAACATGCTATGCTCTCACCCAAAGAGCACTACATAAACATACAAGGAAAACTCCTCCCGTAGGCGCCTACGATATTGCTTCTTTGGTTTCATGGTGTTGAAGTAGGGGAGTTTGATGACATCTGGCCATACAGCTGGACAGGGGCTCCCACAAAGACGGCTGAAAGGAAATGTAAGCACTGTTTTGAATCTCTCAATAAACATAATACTTGAATTAAAATCACTTAGTTCTTTGGTTATTTTCAAATTATTCACCCAACTCTAACACCAAATAGTGCAATAATCTCTCTCTCTCTCTCTCTCACACACACACACACAAATCAACATGCATGCAATGTGGAGAGAAGATGGATAACTTTATAAGAAAGTTTAGTGTAGTGGTTAAGGTGCTGCCCTAGAAACTAGGACACCCTTAGGCATGAAAGCCGGAAGACTGGGCCTGTCGCACTCTCTCAGCCCAACCCACCTCACAAGGTTGTTGTTGTGGGGAAAATAGGAGGCAGGAGTATTAGGCATGTTCACTGCCTTGAGTAGACCAAAATATATTTTAAAAGGCAGGATAAAATAATAATAACAACAACAACAACAACAGCTTCCATCCTGCGGCAATAGCTGTAACACCATCAAACATCCAGATTTGCCTATCCCAGGTCCTTGGTAAGGACTCGATAGGTAGACAAAAATGCCAAACCCAGTGTGAACATCTGGAAAATGTTGTTGAAAATAAGAAGGTGAAGATCTTGTGGGACTTTCGAATATAGACAGATCGTCATTTGGAACACAACACACCAGATATCACAGTTGTCAAAAACCAAAATGTACAATTTATTGATATCGCTGTACCAGGAGACACCAGAGTTGAAGAAAAAGAACTGGAAAAAATCACAAAATATCACGACCTGGCCATCGAAACTACGCGATTATGGATGAAACATGTAACAATGATACCCATTGTGATTAGGGCACTTGGTACCATGTCCAAGAATTTTGCAAAATACATCAAGAAGTTGTAGCTTCCTGCTCTACCGCCAGTGGAGCTGCAAAAGACTGCGCTACTCAGAACAACATACATTTAAAGGAGATACTTGGTTGATACCCAGGATGCTGGCAGCAACCCGTATCAACCATCACAGCCAGTCAATGATATTTGTGATACATTTTTAAATGTTCAGTTGACTGAGTTTCATGTTTAATGAATAAGTTTATAATACTAATACTAATAATATACAACTAAAGCATGAACAGAAAAAAAGCAATTTTCATAAACTTTATGAAGATTAGGCACAAGATTAACTAAAGGTGAAACTCGAAAAATTAGAAGATCGTGCAAAAGTTCATTTATTTCAGTAATGTAACTTAAAAGGTGAAACTAATATGGGAGATAGACTCATGACATGCAAAGCAAGATAGTTCAAGCCGTGATTTGTCATAATTGAGATGATTATGGCTTACAGCTCATGAAAACCCCAAATCCACAATCTCAGAAAATTAGAATATTGGGAAAAGGTTCAATATTCTAGGCTCAAAGTGTCCCACTCTAATCAGCCAATTAAGCCATAACACCTGCAAAGGGTTCCTGAGCCTTTAAATCGTCTCTCAGTCTGGTTCAGTAGGAATCACAATCATGGGAAAGACTGCTGACCTGACAGTTGTGCAGAAAACCATCATTGACACCCTCCATAAGGAGCGAAAACCTCAAAAGGTAATTGCAAAAGAAGTTGGATGTTCCCAAAGTGCTGTATCAAAGCACATGAATAGAAAGTTATGTGGAAGGGAAAAGTGTGGAAGAAAAAGGTGCACAAGCAGCAGGGATGACTGCAGCCTGGAGAGGATTGTCAGGAAAAGGCCATTCAAAAGTGTTGGGGACTTTCACAAGGAGTGGACTGAGGCTGGAGTCAGTGCATCAAGAGCCACCTCACACAGACGGATCCTGGACATGGGCTTCAAATGTCGTATTCCTCTTGTCAAGCCGCTCCTGAACAATAAACAACTTCAGAAGCGTCTTACCTGGGCGAAAGAAAAAAAGAACTGGTTTGTTGCTCAGTGGTCCAAAGTCCTCTTTTCTGATGAGAGCAACTTTTGCATCTCATTTGGAAACCAAGGACCTAGAGTCTGGAGGAAGAATGGAGAGGCACACACTGCAAGATGCTTGAAGATCCAGTGTGAAGTTTCCACAGTCTGTGTTGATTTGGGGAGCCAAGTCATCTGCTGGTGTTGGTCCACTGTGCTTCATTAAGTCCAAGGTCAACGCAGCCGTCTACTAGGAGATTTTGGAGCACTTCATGCTTCCTTCCGCAGACGAGCTTTATGGGGATACTGACTTCATTTTCCAGCAGGACTTGGCACCTGCCCACACTGCCAAAAGCACCAAAACCTGGTTCAATGACCATGCGATTACTGTGCTTGATTGGCCAGCAACCTTACCTGACCTGAACCGCATAGACAATCTATGGGGCATTGCCAAGAGAAAGATGAGAGACATGAGACCGAACAATGCAGAAGAGTTGAAGGCCGCTATTGAAGCATCCTGGTCTTCCATAACACCTCAGCAGTGCCACAGGCTGATAGCTTCCATGCCACGCCGCATTGAGGCAGTAATTGCTGCAAAAGGGGCCCAAACCAAGTACTGAGTACATATGCATGCTTATACTCTTCAGAGGTCCAATATTGTTCTATGTACAATCCTTGTTTTATTGATTGCATGTAATATTCTAATTTTCTGAGATTGTGGATTTGGGGTTTTCAAGAGCTGTAAGCCATAATCATCTCAATTATGACAAATCACGGCTTGAACTATCTTGCTTTTCATGTAATGAGTCTATCTCACATATTAATTTCACCTTTTAAATTACATTACTGAAATAAATGAACTTTTGCACGATATTCTAATTTTTCGAGTTTCACCTTTATATACCATCACTCAGGACTTTCCTATTTGTAGAACAATCATGATTGATTTAACTTTTAACCAGAATTTTTTCACATTAAAGGTAAGAGAAAAATCTAGCTGCTAAATATTAAAGAGGAAATACACAAAGAGTATGCATAAATGATTTTCAGTTCTGTCTAGTTCAACTCCAATTTTATTTTAAATATCCCAAAGGTTTTTATAAATAGCTATTGGCATGATCTTTACAATTGAAGTAGAAAGGGCATCAGGGAGAAAAAGAAATATAATTTGGGCAGCAGGAGTGAAATTTCCATGAATGATCTCTAAATGCAGAAGATATATATAAGTACAGTGATCTTAAGTATTTAAAGAAAGAACCTATTTTTCTGTGGTATTCAGAGCACGCAGAAATGTCTCCCCATTCATATACAACAGAATAGAACTTTCCTTGTACAAACTGAAAATCCTGACAAACTCAGAGATTATTAAGATTAGCTAAAGATGACACTTTGATACGAATAATAAAAATGTGTCGAGGCAATGGGTTTCAGATTTTAGAAAGATCCCCAACAACAATTACGTTACAGGGAAGATTTTGTAGCTGATGAAACTGGAAACACTATTTTCTGAGGAATAGGTAGATGTTATGTGACAAGCTAAATAAGCTGCAGAACTATTGTTTTCTGATTCTGCCTCTTTCCCAACTTTGTATGGGATTTAAAAAGAGCCTAAATGCCAGCTTCTAGTCCTCTGACAGTACCATTAGAACCACATTCAAAATTATAGCTAAGAATAAGCTGCACATATAGAATTCTGGGGTCCTGTCTGCTGAAGAGTGGATTGACAGGCTGGAGACAGGTACTCAGAAGATAAGAAACAGTTACATACATTCAAGAAACACAAGAAAGGCACTTTTCTCCAAATAAGAAAACATCTATATACATTTCTAACATGAGCAACCAGTTGGTACATATTGTTCATAGATCTGATCTGGACCTAATATAATTGCTGGCAATTCCAGCAACTATCACAACTGCTGGCACTGCCAAGGCAAAATACACAAACTACTTTCTGTGCCCAATCTCCTTTCCACCACTCACAGAATGCTTTACCTGATTAATTCAAGCTGAGACAACTCAAGATTAGCTTGAAAAACAGGTTTCTTTGTGAACAGTTCCCCAAGGATGCAGCTAGGAAGAAAACAGAACAAGCTAAAACACCAATAGCAGGGTGGGGGTGGGGGGTGGAGATAACCAGCAAATTGTCAATGAAAGGTGCATGCAAAGGAGTTCATAATGTTATCTACTTTTACAGAGCAGCATTTTCCCATTGCCTTGTGGAATAGTTAGGCCTTCATTATTTCTGAAGAAAATTACTGCCATGAACAGTAGTAATATTTCAGTTCACATTTATAAAAAAAGAACAGTACAGTATCTTAAATATAAAAACCTAAAGGTTCTTTTTTAAGAAATGAGCTCTTGCATGTGCTTGTGGCTACTGTCCTAAAGAAACAGTAAAAATTGATATTTATCATACTTAAGGTGGATCAAAAGTATATGCCATTTCAACCACACTATGCTTAAAGTTTGAGGTATGAGTGACTGCAGATAGTAGCCACAAGCTAACATCAAAATCAAAACAAAATTGTCACTAGCTTACCCACAGCTCCAGACATCTATAGCTGGTGTGTAACGCTCCTCGCCTAGCAGCAACTCAGGTGGTCGATACCATAGTGTAATGACTTTATTGGTATATGGACGGCTAAGTAAAAAAAAAACAATTATATAAAAAAAACACTTTAGGCTCAATTCTATAACAATAGAAGAAAACAGATGATGCAATCAACAGTAGCACTTTTAAGCCACTAGAAGTTTTATCTAAAGTTGTCCTGAAGCCCTATCAGAGCATTTGGAATGAAAAGTGATGAATTTATAGTCACAGAACTGTGTATCTATGTATCACACTTCAGAGACAAGAAATAATAAAACTGCCTCTGATCTCACACAAACATTCCTCGCTCTACAGAAAACTATCACATATCAGGAGATCAAGGAGGATACCTTCATTGGCAGAGAAAGATAGGTCAATGCTTTCTCTCTGGTTTTAGTTTTAAACAAAATTAGGAAAATCACTGCTTTTATGGTTGGTGGAACTAAGGCTCAGAATAATTTGCCTAATGGCTTCAATCAAGTTCAAGACTGAGGTGTGTTAGAAGTAAACTATAAACTTAGTTTATAAGTCCAAAACACAAACAAGATTATACCAGGCAATAAACAGGCAAAGACATGCAATCAGCTCCCTCATTAACACCACTGACTCAAAAAGAGAGGCATCAAAGGTAATTCCTATATACTTGTATTCCACGTGTGGAATGGGACAATTAACCACAGGCACATGGCTATGCCCACTTCACCCCCCACAGCAGCCAACCCGTCATGGGGCATTTATCATTGACTGTGTCCAATAGGAAGGCACAGCAGGGACGCATGGTTACTTATCCTGCGTTGTGGACTGGCTGGGGATAAGAATCCTTTGACAAATTGCCCAGGAGGAGGGTGCATTGAAGGAGCGTTGGCAAATGGTCGGCTGACGATAAATGCCCGCAATGGGTCAGCTGCGGTGGAGGCCCCACAGTGAAGTAGGCACAGCTATGTCAACCATGGTTAATTATCTTAGACCCTGCAAGTGAATTCAATAAGGTTTGTACAGAAGTCCATCCTGGCGTATTATGGTTAAAATATCTAAAGTCATGTCTACACGCCTCTTAAACATCTTACCTTTCTTCTGAACTGTAAAGTCGGGCAAGACCAAAGTCTGCCAGCTTGATCTGCCCACTACAAAAAGATAATAATGGACATTTAATAATAAAGTCTTACAGAAAAGGGCAACAATATATGAACCAAAATTACTGAATTGGCAGCAGGCTCCTATAAGTCACACTTTCGAAAACAGAGAGATCTCCTACAGAAGTGGTCTACACAAAATTATCCTACTAATTTATATATATAACTCTATTTTCCAACTAAAAATCTATCTTTTATAGAGGTCTTGGGGGCAGGAAGAATGCATGGAAATACTACTTCAGTTCCTTGACTTTTTTTTTCTTTTTCCAGTGTAATAGTGGGGAAAATATGCAGCAGGAACTAAATTACAAATGGTGAAGGAAGGCAATTGAGAAATAGCCTCAGCATTTTTAAATTATCAGGACCAGATCCAATAGCTCTGCTGAGACCAGCTGCACTTGATCTGCCCTCTTTCTGAACTGTTTCCATAATAAGAACTACTATTTTAGTCTTTCCTACAATGTATTTTACTTTGTAAACATGAGGTTGGGAACCCAAAATGTAACCGTCTCACCCCATGGGAATGGCCCACCCCACCCATACTGGTAGCGGGGGCATACTGCAGATGACTGTAAGTTAACCAGAGTTACCTTGAGGTAAGACAGGTGGCCTATAGTATTTATAAATAAATAAATATAAATATTAAAATCCCATCAGCCAAGGAATTTCAACTGGCAGGATCCAGGAAAAGAATCTTCTCTGCCATGGCTCCTGCCCTCTGGGACATCCTACCCCAAGGTGAGACTGGTTTCCACCCTCTGGACTTTTCATAAGAGCCTTAAGACCTGGCTCTGCCATATGGTTTGGGAACTCAATGGGGGAGCTTCATGCTGGAGGTGGTGGACTAATTAAAATCTAATCCCACCCCCCTCCCTGTGTATCCAGCTCCCTCCTTTGCCATCTTGTGTTAATGATTTTATCTGCTGTGTTATTTTATAATTCATGATTTTAATGTTTTTTAATGTTTTTAAGTTGTAAGCCACCCAGTGTCATTGGACACAAGATGGGCAGCAAATAAATTTCATAATAATAGAATAGGAATATGTTAAGAATTCATTTCAGAAATCAAATCCAGAAAGCACACACAGATTACTGATTCAGCAGGATTCAATAACTTGTTCATATACATGAGTAAAACGTACAATACCAATAGTAGATTCTTCCAACGTAACACAAGCAGAGAATAGTTTCAGTTTCAACAGACAAGCCCAGACAAGAACAGACTTGTTTTCAGCTTCAGAGCACAGAGCAGAGATAAGCCACGCCCAGACTCCCTCTTTAAATTTCAGTCTCTAATTCAGCTCCCATTGGCTGATCTATTGCCATGCTATTCATTGGCTGACCTTGTTACCATGTCTCTGACAGTTCATGAACATTCTGACAGAATAGGAATGGGAATGGGAATGGGAATGGGAATAGAATAGAATAGAATAGAATAGAATAGAATAGAATAGAATAGAATAGAAATGTTCTGAGAAGTTCTCTGGCTGAGGTCAGATTAAAATATGGCGTTTGGCTCAGCTGTTTGGCAGCAACAGTGCTGTGAACACAGAGGGCACCCGGAACCAGAGCTGTGGCTTGACCGCAAGGGTAGGACCAAGGGCAGTGATGGCATTGGCACCAGCGACAAGTGTCAGGCTGTGGGGATGGAGCTGAAGCTGGGACTGGAGCTGGCCAAGGATGGAGCAGTGGCTTGCTCCAGAGGTGTGGAGTGAAGCCCCACAGTTGAGACCAAGGCCAACTGTTGGTGAGGGCGACAGCAGCAGCATTTGATGCTGGGTCATGGAAGGAGCCCCACAGGTGAGACTGAGGGTGGTGGTGATGAGAGGCAAACAACGGAGACTGGCCAGTGCCATGAGGACTGAGGATGAGCAGCAATGCTGCAACAGGGCCTGAAGACAGGGGCCAGGGAGTTGAAAATGTTGGAGCTGGTAACTTGTGACTGGGGCCTCTGCAAAAGCAGTGGTGGTGGTCAAGGGCTGGCATTCCAAGAGTGGGACCCAGAGCAGGTGTTACAAAACTACAGCTGGAGCTTCGTGGCCCCTATGAAATATTTTGGAAGACCTAAAACCAAAGGTGGAGCAGGTGACTTGAATCGGTGGCGCAGTGGTCCTCATAAGGAGACTAGGAAAAAACTTGAGGGGAGTGTGCCCTCCCAATAAGAATGGGACAATTTGCCACAGCCAGCTTGGCTCAACCAGCTCATCGCCAAGTTGCCTCAGGACAACTCCACACGGCAAACTTGCTGCAGGGACAACTCACTGTGGGCGGCCAAAGGGAGAGCCAGGCAGGCGGGTGAGTAAGCGTGTGGGCAGAGTGCAGACTTCAGAGCAGTGGCCAGGAGTGTTCCATTTTCACATATCTCTCTACCACCACCGTCATGCGAAGCTCCAGGCCAAAGAGGACGGCAGTGGTGGTGATGGTAGCAGTCATGGACCTATCCCAGATGATCTCAGGCCTGACTCGGAACAGTGGTGACATACTGGAGGTGATCTTTCAGAATAAACAGAGTTGGAAGGGACGTTGGAGGTCTTCTAGTCCAACCTCCTGCTCAAGCAGGACACCCTATAGCAAATAGCTGTCCAGTCTCCTCCAGTGATGGAGCACCCACAACTTCTGAAGGCAAGCTATTCCATTGGTTAATTGCTCTCACCATTAGGAAATTTCTCCTTAGTTCTAGGTTGCTTCTTGGTTAGTTGCCATCCATTGTTTCTTGTCTTGCCTTTTGGTGCTTTGGAAAATAGATTGACCACCATCTTCTTTGTGGCAGCCCCTCAAATACAGGTAGCCCTTGACTTCCAACAGTTCATTTATTTTTATTTTTTATTTTTTTTACATTCTTCTAAGATTTTATTAATTCAAACATGGACATACAAAACACAAAACATAAATACCTAAAACTTCTTTTTGGAAAGCGGCTTACCCCGGGTTACCTCTTTTTATACAAACATAAATCAAATTCATACTCACTTAATATACTGTTTCATATCTTAATTAACATTTTGTATTTTCTATATATTTTCTCTCCTCTATTCACTCTCATAATTCTATTATATTTATTTCATCTCATTTTAAATAATTATACTTGTATCTTTTGTCTGTTCTCTTCAATTATCTATTTATCTTTTCTTTCTAATACAATATTTCTCCTGTAGTCACTGGTTGAAGTATGACAACTTTTTATCTTTCCCCTAGATTTGACACTTGAAATAATACATACTTTCCATACTGATTCTGCTTAGCACAAAGTACATTTTAAAATAATAAAACAAAAATAAAAAAGGGATTGAGTTTATAGTATGATCAAAACAATATTCCATAGAAAATTAAACTCTATTATTTACTCTTAAACATTTTATATATTCCCTTTAATACATTAACTCATAATATTTCACTTTTCTAACTCAGTTTCAAATACTAATATCTACAATACAATCTTATGTACTTTTGCAGAATCATTTTTTTTTTAATTTAAATTTTACCCTTTATCTCTGAAAAAAACCTTTTTTTTAGCATCTTGTTTTAAACCTTTATGGCTTCCCTTTCCTTTTTCCCTTCCTTTCTTATCAATTCTGGTCTTTTTGCCCCCCCATCTCTCAAATTCCACTTTTTTGATCTTCCCTCTCTGTTGTGTTTCTCTTTTCTGTTGCTTTCTGGCATTGCATCGATTTTTCATCTTATTTTCCCCTTTCTTGGTTGCTTTTTTAAGTTCTGAATTCTCCATTTTCTTTCCCCCCTTGTTCTTTTCAGCTATAATTTTTTGTCCATTAAAGATGGCTTCTCCTTCTTCATCCCAGTCCTCTTGTTCTTGTATTTCTTGGTAAGTGGAAATCGCCATTTCCAAAAAACGAAAGATAGATCCAAAAGAGCCCTTGCCTTCTTGTTCCTCTTCTTGTAGCTTTTGAAATTCCATTTGTAATTCTTGCACAGATAATGCCATTTTTTATTTTTTTTATTTTTAAAAGAACAACCCAAACGTTTTTAGTCTTTCAAGAAATAGTTCCCCAAAAATCCCAAAGTCACAAAGCAATCCAAATCAGAACAAACTGTTCCATTAACACTTTCTTCTTCTTCTTTTTTTTTTTCCTCCTCCTGGGGTGAGAGTTTCAAAATGATTTTTAGAAGCCTTATTGTCATTAATTTCTAATCTTATAAACTTCAAGCAGTCTTCTTCAATAGAATCTTAGAATAAGTTTTTTACCTCTTCCTTCCCACTTATAGCAATAAACTTTTAATTTTTAATTCCAATGTTCCAAAATCTTTTATCCCCTTGGCTTTAATTTTTAGGTTTATTTACCTTCTTTGCCCAAGCAGGTTTGCCAAATTTCCATCAGCTACTTCCGTAGGGAAGGAGAGTGAGAAAAAATAACTTTCCCTTTCACAACTTTCTTCCGCCGCTTGCACAGTCTTTCTGGGAAACAATGTAGCAATAAAAAAGGCAAGTTTCCAGGTTTTAAAGGCTCCTCTTTGTCCCGGTTCAGCCAAAGAAAAACTTTCACTTTCTTCCTCCTGCGCAATCTTGTCCAGCTGCAGGCTTCTTTGTGGCGGCCATTGCTGACCGCCGCTCCACCGCCTTGGGAAAAGGGGGTTTTGCCGGCTGGGGAGGAGGTCTGTGACACCCCCAAACCCCTGTCCGGGTCCCCCCTGTCTTCAGCTGCCTCTACGGGGCAGCTATATCCTCCAAATCCAAACTGATCGGAGGCACCTCGGCAGCGAGCGCAGCAGGGATCGCACGGAGTCGCGAATCCCTGCCGCTGCCGAAGCCTTGCAAACCGGAAGTCCCAACAGTTCATTTATTGACCGTTCAAAGTTACAGCGGCTCTGAAAAAAGTGACTTATGACCATTTTTCACTTATCACTGTTACATCATATCTCCATGGTCACTTGATGCCTGACAACTGGTTTATATTTCTGATGGTTACAGTGTCCCAGGTCATACAATCATCTTTTGTGACCTTTTGACAAAGTCAATGGGGAAGCCAGATTCACTT